GCTCCTGTATCCCCTTCCCCCTCCCCCCACCCAAGCACCTGTGCTTTCTGCATGCCCCCTCCACCCACCTGAGTCCCTGCAAGGCTGTGTGGCTTCTGCCCGGCTCCCACTGAAAAAGTATGAGACTATCCTCTAAGGACTTTAGTCAAAGTAGGAGCAGAAATGATCATCAAGGCTTCTGTGATGTACCAGAAGCCTTATTTTAGTGATTACCTTGTAGTTCGCATGACCCAAGCACCTGTGCTTTCTGCATGCCCCCTCCACCCACCTGAGTCCCTGCAAGGCTGTGTGGCTTCTGCCCGGCTCCCACTGAAAAAGTATGAGACTATCCTCTAAGGACTTTAGTCAAAGTAGGAGCAGAAATGATCATCAAGGCTTCTGTGATGTACCAGAAGCCTTATTTTAGTGATTACCTTGTAGTTCGCATGATTTGCAGGATCCACTTATGATGAAACTGTGATTTTGTCAGTTACTTGGAGTAATAAGCAATACACATTCTATTAGGATAGAGGAAACTGGTGGACAGAGTTGCCCAATGGAGCAATGGTGAAGAAGCTTAAGTGCTGTGTATTGTGGAAGCAACCCCAATTAGTGATAAGTGTCCTTTATCAGCTGCTTTGAACCCTCTCATTGTGTCACTTCTCTCCTGCATATCACTATATGCCTTCTCCACTCATCCCAGGAAATTAAAGATGATATTCCAGTTTTAAGGTACCCTAATTTTATTGAAAATCAAGTTACCCTAATAGAAACTAAGGATGGGTGTGTTTGCTATTCAGTATTGGAGTCATAGCATAATTTCCTGGGGCTTGTAGTACAGTATCGTGAATGATTTCAAACTACTGGTGGCATGTAATGAGGAAAAGAAAATGCCAGGAATAATTTAGAATGGATTTTGTAATTAAAAAAAAAAAAATCTTCTTGTTTCTAAATGAAATGTTTCATTTTCTTAAACCACTTTTGAAAATAGTGACAAGATAAAAAGCATTAACCACAAACCTTATTGTAAATCACAGATGAACATAGACTTTTGCAAAGCAAATCTGTGTTGTCTTGATCATGGAAGGAATGTTGGTTGAGCGTGGTTGAGCTACAGAAATGCAGTAAAACTGAAATCTTTCAGCTCTTCATTGAGAATTATGACTAGCACCATGATTCAACTTGGATTCTTTTGGTAATATAGAGATGACTTTTCACACTTGAGTGCATAGAGTTAGGTACCTAAATCTGTCAGATTTCTAACGACAGATTTGAGTGCAGCTTCAGATACTTAAATCAACACTTGTGAGCCCAGGCTCTTAAATATATTTTAGACACTAAGTTTGAAGATTTAGATATAGCAGTTACTTTATGAAAATCTTCATCCTATCTTGAACAACGTGGAACATTGCCTTCAAAGGGTAGCTACATCAGATACTTTGATGTAAATTTAATATCATATATATACACACACACAGTAGCCCAGTGTCTGTGTGTCTGTAACGCTGACGCACACAGCCACGCCCACTGTCTGTGTACGTCAGCGCCCCGCCCCCTTCCCCTATGGCCGGGGCCCAGCTGAGCTGCGCTCGTGCTGCTCTGCTCAGCTGGGTCCTGGCCGGAGAAGGGGG